AGGCCTAAGTATAATAATCACCCAATAAGCATCTGAACCTGAAATTAGTGACTAGCATACGCGTCCTCAAATAATATAATTCCCATTAAACCTCACAAAGTAAATAATCCTTCTACTTCATCTGAAGAATAATAAAGACACCTAAGTTCATAGTCATCGACTTACAACTGTTATCAATTTTTTAAATAAGCAAATACAACAGGAAGAAACTGTTGAAGAATTAACAACAGAATTCAGCACTGTCGCATTAACGGATAAGTCCAAGAAGCGCAAGCAATATAGTGAGCACAGCATTAGACGGTTGATTCACTTAATCCAAGAGGCTGGGCTTACAGTTCCCAAAGCTGCGGTTGAGTGTGGCATTCCGAGGTCCACCGCTTATAAGTTTTTAGATCAGTGGAATGCTAGTGATGGTACAGTCCTTCCTGGTAGCAAGCCAAGAACCGGCATCTCCCGACCAAAGAAGCTTTTTGCAGAACATACTGAGTTTCTTATAGCATTATTTGATGCGAGACCTTCGACAACAATTGAATCTGCAAGACAGGAGCTCTGTGCCAAATTTGAAGGTTTGAGTATCTCGATACCCAGTCTCTGGGAGCATATGACCACTAAGTGTTCACTATCTTTAAAAAGAGCAAACAAGTATACTTCAGAAAGAGATGCGCCTAGGACAATCGAGCTTCGTTTTAGTATTGTTAGTCAATGGAAAGCTGCTGGTGTTGACTTTCAAGAAAATTGTGTTTTTGTGGATGAAGCAGGTTTCAATACGCAACTAATGAGAAGCCGTGCGTGGTCTAAGCGTGGTACTTATGCTACTGTTAAAGTCATGACTCAAAAAGGAGCAAACCTTAGTCTAATTGGCTGTATCTGCGCTCGCGGCATCATTGATTTTTCGAAGGTGCAGCCTTTGAGCATAAGTGATGCTATTAAGGTCGAACAGCAATATCAACCACAGTCCAGTTCAAAGAAGAGAAAGGCTGACACTCAAGAACTTCCAAAAAAGCCAATTAAAGGAACCACTGCTTATCATTACGTGAAATTCATGGAAGTTGTAATGGATACGTTGGACAGACTGGACATGAAAGGCTATTTTATCGTAATGGATAATTGCAGGATCCACCATGCGCAATTCGTTATCGATACTATCAACAAACGCGGCTACAAACCGCTATTCATGCCCCCTTACTCACCATTTTTGAACCCAATTGAAGAATGCTGGGCAAAAATCAAAGCAGGCATCAGAAGGAATCCTCTTCAAAAAGGTGATGAGCTCTCTCCACGTATCAGCGAAGCAATCAAAACAGTTACGCCCGATGATTGTCTTGGATGGGTAAGGCACGCTGAGAGTTTCTGGGAGAGATGTTTACAGAAGGAAGTAGGGCTACGATGAACGATAATGTTATTTTCACATATGCTTTCAGAATTAATATTGACGTCTAAAATGTAAAAAGATCTACAATAAAATCCTACTTCGTCTAAAATCAAAAGTCTATAGTCCACTAAAAAAAAAGAAACGTCCCAATTAAGGTACCGACTTCATCCACAAAATTTTCAAAATCGTCTCTTATGAAACCTAAAATACTGTATATACTTTTTAAGTTTTAACTTCAGCTTTAACAACATGATTAATCGTGGTGGCTGGTCGGATTTTGCTGGTCCGGATTTTGCTGGTCCGACCCCAACGAAAAGTGATGTAATTTTTCTATTTTCACAGTCCGTCTCACGCCTCGTCGTTTTGAAAACTTCTTCATTCTTCTCCATCTGCACATCTGGGAATCATGGTTTTCCGAACATAGTATGGCCGTAAACTGTCGCCTTTCACTGCACCTTCTAATCTGCGTGCACTTGTTCCAGCTAAATGATAAGTGCCACCACTATTTACTTTAATCACTGTCATCGGTCCTATTCACATATCTGAAAATTTTGTTTCTTTGTAAAGATTTTCCATCAACACCTGGTTCACCAAGTTTATAAAATCGCTGATGATGAATTGTCAAAACATAAGGGGTCTTTTTTTTGTCTTCTGATACTTGTTTTATTTCGAGTCTTGAATTCTTTATTGTTGAGCTTATTTCTTCAATTCTCTTCGTTACTTCTTCAGCTATTTCTCCTTCTAGAAAATCACATCGCGGTGCTGGCCATATCAAGGGTGTTTGTAAATCAAACCCAAATAACAGCTTAGCGGGAGTATAACCAGTAGTAACATTCACCAGACTTCTTATTGCCATTAATGCTGTTGGTATCATATCATCCCAGTCTTTAAGATCTCCGTGATCACGTACGAGTTTAGCTATCACATGAACTAATGTTTGGTTTAATCTTTCACTTAAACCATTGGTTTGTGGGTCGAAAACTATTAGTAGTGATATGTCGACATCTAACCTTCTTGAGGAAATGACCGAAATAAGTAGATGTAAAGTTCGATCCTCTGTCAGTTAGTCGAAATTGAGGTACACCATAAGACTGAACAATATTATTATACAGAAATTCTTCAGTTGTTTGTTCTGTAATGTCCTTAACGGCTTGAGCAATTGGCCACTTTGTAAGAGAATCGACGGCAACTAGTATATACTTATTTCCTTTTTTAGATTCGATCACTGGCCCTACTGCGTCGCATCCCACCATATGGAACGGTCTTTTTGCTACTTGAATTGGTCTTCCAGGGTTCGTTCTTCTGGCCTCAGGCTTTTTTCTTCTTTGACAAGTCTCACAACATTGGAGAATTTCTCTCACTTTCTTGATCAAGCCTCGTGCGTAGAACCTTGACTTAATTTTGTACCATGTGTTGTTAATTACAGTATGACCTTCTTCATATACTTTTCTACTTATTTCATCTATATTGCCTTGATGGAGAATTTCCAATGATTCTGTTTGTCGTTCTGTTGGTTTTCTGTAAAGTCTCTTATTGAAAACTAGGTGAGAATCTGCCATTGATTCTCATTTGGTTTTCACTGCCGCTGGCAGTCTGGAGGGTATGTCTTCTTTGTTATCAATTGTACTATAGTTATGTATTCTGCGTAATCCATGGTTCATAAATGTGTCAAGGTAGTGAGATATTATGTTAGTTAAAAATTTCTTTTTTTTTTCTGGAGTTACGGCATGACGATGCATCCAGGGCATCTTTTTGAAGTTATAATTTCGCTTCAAAGCTTTCAAATGATTGTCGACAGTAAGGTTGCAAGGGGTTATTTTCAGGTCTTACTTCATATCACTGTGCCGATCTTTTTTTTAGAAGCAATAGGCATGCCTATTGTCCATCTTTCATACAGGAGACTATTGAAAAAACCATTGAGGCATTAGAAGAAAAGTTGTTAACCGACAGCAAAAAAAGTTGGCCATCTCGAAACGGAGCGGCAGGTATTCAAAGCTAAGACGTAATGTAAATCATAGGCTCTTGCATTCCCTTGCAGCAAGTCAATGAAACACAGGATAACTCCTCATTTGCTCTCATGCTACTCTTTGTCGCAAACAACATATTAAATGGTCAGGTATTTATAACATTAGCTATTCTCATCATTCCTTCCTTTGTTGTGCTCTTTCTTTCCTTATACTCCAGTATACGGCTCTTTTTACCCCTTTTATGAAAACTGCTTACATACTATTCTTCTGTGTTTCGGTGCTTGTCAATGGCGTATTCCTTTGGGACATTGATAAGACTGACCCGCAATGCCAGGGAAGAATAACTGTTCCTGGAATAGTCAACGTTCAACAGAGTTCATTCTTTAATGGTGGACGAAGGGTCGATAACCTATCGCAAGTTTGCCAATGCCGGTTGGCAGCATCTGGTAGTATTTTGCCACCAAAAGTAAATTCCATTTCTTGTATTGCTAAGGATGGTAAAAAGTATCGGTATGACGGTGGCAGAATGATGGTTGAATCGAAATATTAGACGAATATTTGATCACAAGGCATTATCAGAGATCTTTCAACACTCATACTCTTTTATCGCAACATTATTAACTTAAGATTAATCAATATCCTTCGTTGCAATTCTATATTAACCTAAAATTGAATAAAACAGATAATATTATGTTCTGGATCGGAATATGGACCTACGGAAAAGTTGGGATGGTTAGATGAATTCATTTTCTTCTTAAAGCTACACATTGAAATGCGTTCTATTTTTGGGAAACAGAAAAGAAATTCGCTGATAAGCAAAATGAGAAATGTTAGCATTGAGTCTGTAACGAAATGTAGGAGCTCGCCGCCGTAGTCTTTCTATTATCTGCAATCATCTATCTGCATTTGCTTACAGCAAAAGTAGCAAATGAATTTGATTCGCAAATCTAGGTCCCCACGCATTAAAAAAAGTAGACATCAAGCCGCCATTATACGATGTACATTATGAATATTTGAAAGAAGCAAGTTGGATAAGTTATTCATTTGAGTGCTCTTGAGCTATTTTATTTCTTTTCCTCAGGTTATAAGGTCACTATCAGCATTCCAAGTTAACTTTTTTGTCGTATTCAGTCCATTTCTATATCGTAATTTATCTTAAACAAGTACTATATTTTAACCAAACCTGTAGTTGTTACTATTTCAATGCTCGTGTGCCATCTTTTAGAAAGAGAAATCAACTTATTGGAGCTTGTAAAAAGGTATAAAGTCGGGTTATCACCTAAGTCTGACGCATACCTTTTTGAGATTTGACAGTGAAGATTAGGCTACAGTAGTCTCCAAATAGTGCCTTTAGAAAGAGCGTTGGAAATTATATTTAGATCAAATCTTTACAAAATTATAGGCTATTTTTCTCCTCGATAAAAGATGGTTGAAAATTACGCCATAATCGATCTTTCTTGTATACACAAAAGCTCAACTCACAATCTTATAGATTGATCTTCACATATTTATGAGAAACGAAAGCTGATATACTGCAAAGATATTGCTACATTGCCAAAAAAGTTTATCAACGAATGGCACACGCGTAAATGAGCTGTATATGTAGAATACCCAAGTTTCTTATAGCCAATAGACTACTATCTTTAGGTTCCTCTCTCCTATTACAATATAAGCAAATTTGAAGCTCCTAATTTAGCTCCCATCGTCCTTTTTCCACAACAACAAAAGAATTTTAATCGTTCAAAAAGTCTTAAAAGAGGCAGCATGACGAGAATGGCAGTTGAAGAAAAGCCCAGCAACGAGAGTAGATTCAATTCCTGTGTACAAGGAGAAAAAGGGAAATAAAAAGAGAGCTCCTTTGATTAACGATACATTCTTGTTGTCCCCACAAACAGATTTTACTACTACGACAACTCGCCCATTTGTTCGCTCTACATCGACTACTGGGGCCGATATTGGGGAATTACAGCAGAACATCAGTCTCGCCGAAAATGAACTAAACAAATTAAAGCTCGAGTTAGATCAAACACGAAAGCAGGCGAAACAAGCTGAAGCGAATGCGCAAGAAAGTGGTCGCACCAACCGCTCATTGAAAACCGAACTACAAACGCTCACTGACATGAGCAATCGAAAAGACAGACAAGCTGAAAACTCAAAAGCAACCGCTTTTTTCTTCGAGGGACAAGTGAAAAAATATATGGATGAAATCGAAACGGCTCGCCAAGGCATGAGCCATCTCAAAGTTCTCGATGAGCAGCTTCAACAAGCAAAAATTGAACAGGGTGACCTTGAGAAGCAGCTTACACAGGATTGCATAAGAACAAAAGAGCAGCTAAAGGCCATGCAAGAAGCGCATAACAAAACGAAGGAAGAAATAAAGTCAAAAATAAACGAAGCTTATGCAGAGCTGGAGAAAGCATCGTTGGAAACGATGCGACTGCAGGAAGAACTACAGCAGCAATTAGAAGCCGAAATGTTGCAAGGTGCTGATTTTCAAACGCTAGAAAAGGAGTACCGCCTATTAGAACAGAAACAAATGGACAGTGTAAAAGCGGTCCATGATGAGGTCAGCCATTTGTGCAGAAAGATTGAACAATCAGAAACGTCGATAACGTCGCATGAAGAAAGCATGATTATGGTAAAAGAAGAAATGGATCGAATCGTAAGACGTTTGCGGGCTATTGATCAATTAGACACAGCAACAGCGACAATGGATACCACCAATGCTTTTGCTCCAGCAGACAGTAACGGTACAAAGACAGGCACTGAATAACGCAATTACTTTTTTCCATAACAGATACATCTTTGTTTCATTTGCTTATGTAAACAATATACCTTTTCCTCAAAAAATAAAGCCTCTTTTGCATAGCGATTACTGTCATTCATGATTTGTCTCAGCCTACAAGGGTAGGCTACCGAAAGGGTATTCTTTTGAGATGTTTACTTAGAGCAGGGCACTTACGTTCGATTTGGTTGCTCCTGAGAAGTGGCATTCTCTTTGTTCATCGTTTGAAAGTCAGCTTCAAGCGCCTTTTCCTCTTCCTCATGTATCTCTGGTTTTATGTCTTTTTAACACTGACTTTTTTGAAATGAAGCTTCCTGTGTCTTTCCGACGCTCTCCATTACAATTTAACTAACAAAATATGGTCAAAGGTAATCAAAAATTGCAGCTATTTCAAAAATGACTTAAACCGCTCTTGTACTGTTTGGTGAAATATTGATATAACTTTGAATTAGTATTGATATTGGGTGCTGGGTATGGCACTCGTTTACAACGTGACCTTCAATTGTCCGCCGAATACAGGCATTTATTAGGGGTGCCTAAAGCATTATTACCTCTAGGTGGTCGCGATGCCCTCATTACACATTGGCTTGAGCTTTTTGAAGCTCACGGATTAAAACAAGCAAAAGATATTTTTGTAATAACCAATGAAGCCTGTTATGACTCAATCAAGCAATGGGCAACGCGACATTCCGTTCCTTTAGATCATATCGTCAGTGACGGCACAACATCAAACGAGAATAGACTAGGTGCTGTGCCTGATATCATGTTTGCTGTCAAACATTTTCATTTACTGCAAAATGATGTGCTGGTTGTGGGAGGCGATACTTTGTTTTTGCATGATTTCAGCCTCTCTCACTTTTTGGACACCTTTGAGGAAAAAAATAAAACCAGCAACGGCCGACCACTCTGTTTAGTCACCACCTATGAAGTCAGCGATGCCGATGTACATAAATTTGGTATTGTTGGGACGGATGAAAAGGGTGCAATCAGCAGTTTCCTTGAAAAGCCAGATCCATCTTCTACTACAAACCGCTCTGCATGTCCCTGCTTTTACTTATTCCATAGACAAGCTTTACCTATCATAGACGAGTTCATCCAACAATGTCAAAAAAGCAATGCACCTAAGGAGGCTTACGATGCCACTGGAAAGTGTTTAGCTTATTTATATCCTCGTTTCCCTATACAAACAATGCCGATCTCTGGTCGTATTGATGTGGGTGGTTTACAATCTTATATAGACGCAAATAGATATTTTGATTCGTTGTAACCATCAGTATATTGAAGAAATAAATTAACAAATGGCATTTAAATTGCTGTATTGATTAGAGTATGCAACAAAAGGTATTACAGTGTTTTAACGTCGTTGCAATATTTATTGAGCAATCTGCATTTTAATGTAAAAAATCTACAATTTTATAGGAATAGTTTGCGTATAACTTTAGACGGATTGAATCACCAGTTCATAAGACCGGGCTCTTTCTGTAAGTATTTTTAGCAGAGTGTTTCTGCTACCTACTCCAATCCAGGCAATCATGAAGCATAATTCTCTCATACGCTTTTTGAATTTGAAGCGGTAATCCATCTCCCATCTGCAGCGAACTGCGTTAAATATTGCTTTTGATCCTTGATCAGTGTTGTGTCCAACATCAGGTTACGCGTAGATTATTACATAATGCTAAAATAAGAGACTGCAGGTCCTTATAATGATTGGTATAATCTTAAGTGTTAGCTTTGTCAGAACAATTCTTATCGATCCAGAAGAACATTTCATCTGTATATACATCCGAGACAACATCATATGAGTAATTGGCTTGATTTAGAAATAAGATAATATAGTATTTGAGTTTATTACAAATTAGATAACTTTATTTTGCAGATCAAACAATATACATATATCTTATCTATTCAAGCTATTATCTAACTCGTTGATCCACTACTTTAACTCTTTACAGTCTGACAAGATTCATAAGGCTGAAACGTAGACATCGGCAGAATTAAGGATTAGTTTATCCTGTCCGTCACACTAGTTATAATGAAACTGCTGAAGTACGGGTTAAAGGAACCTTTAGTTAGATCAACCCACTTACCTCCTGTTACCGATCCAATCGGTCAAGGCACCGCTATAGCATGATGAACCGTGCTGTAACAATTGGGTATGTCTTTTCTTCTATCATTAGGTCATCTTCTGTTCAAGGGTCCCGATAGAAAAAGTTTTTTACAATATCCACAAATATAAATAGAAGTACTTTTTTCCTACATGGTTCTTGTCTTCATTTTTTATCTGAATATTCCATTAATAAAAGAAGATAACTTAATCTTCACATATTTCCTTTTTGTTTTCTTTCTATTGTGATTTAATTCTACCTTATACAACAATTGTGGAGGTAGTCCAAAGTAAGTTGGGCTTGCCCGCTGCGCTAGCAAATCCCACATAAAGAGTAAGAGACAACCGCTAACCTATCCATATATGACCAACCGATCTTATCCAGAAAGTAGTAACTCATCCAAAAGTTTAATCGGTATAGTTTTTAAAAGCAACCACACTTCGCCTGGTTAGAATTAGTTATAGATACATGGGTAACTACTAAGTTGTCTCTTACTCTTTATATGGGATTTGCTAGCGCAGCTGGCAAAGCCCAACCTACTTTCGGACTACCTCCTAAACAAATTACTTAAAAGATATAAAAGAGTGTTGTATCCAACAGCATATTTCTCTTGGATTATTACTGATATATCTGTAAATCTTATCAATTAGAATTATAATAGGCTAAGTTAAGTAGCGAGACTATCGAAAAATGTTCATCCTTTTTATTTCAAATTAACATTTGGGTCTCTTTTATATCTTTTGAAATAAGTAATTTGTTCAGAGGAAAGGGCATGTCTGAGACCTTGTTAATAAGTATGGGACGGATACGGAAATATATGTATTGTTGTTTAGGTGAATAATTACATATATTTGGTTTAGGTGATTATGGAGACATCATAGAGGGTAAAAAGTAAAGATGAAATGTTTTATATAGTATAACAATACAGATTCAAAAAGAAAACCATCTCCCAAAAAAAAAAAGGGCAAATACTAAAAAGGAAAAAAACCTTACTAAACTTGGACTGTTAAATAGCTACACGTGAGGTCAACGGCCATGTCCGATGAATCAAAATGTTGCCGAAGCGAAGGCTGAAAATGTGGTAACGCACCCACCCTCTTCATGGACACAACACTTAAAGAACTTATTCAAATAGCCATTGGAATTTATACCCTCCCGAAAAATAAAATAAAATTGAACTACCTCATATAACGTGACTTTGAAAGATATGGGGAAGAAATAGATCAAAATCTTTCAGCCTTCGCTTCGGCAACATTTTGAATTAGTGTCCCGAAATTTTACAGTCAGAAGTGTCCGAATAATTTCTGAAAATAGTGGTATTGATTACCAGTAAGGTTGAAGTGTACCCTGTTGAAATCTTATTGGTCTCAGTGTGCATGGAAGGCAGTAAATCTGAATACCCAAGTTGTCGAAACGAAGGCTGAAAATGTGATACATGCTCTCTGAGCCACGCTTTATTTTCCTTTTTTGATGATAATAAAATGTTTTCCCTTTCTTCCCTATATCTTCTAAGCTAAGCTATATTACTATTCAATTTTATTTTTTTTTTTATTTTATTTTTTTTTTTTTGTGGGAGGGAAATGATAACTATGAATGATAATGTAATACTAATAAATTTGTTGGTTAACCGAAAAAGCGGTACCAGGGTCGGGTATGTATCACATTTTCAGCCTTCGTTTCGTTAACTTGGGTATTGGTTGTCGTACCTAAACGAATCCCCGTTGACTCCACTTCGGCTTCCAATGTGATACGTTTCTCCGGAGAAGAAAAAATTGAATTGTTAATTTTGGTGCTAGTTGCAGTTTGAGAGGACGGTTTGTAGTAGTAGTTTTCGAAAGTATTTGAGTTTAGACTCCAGTTTGCATGTTTCTTCACATCTTGTATAGAATGTCCTAGTTCCACTGCCTTTGTACTTGCTGCTGCCCGTACCGAGTGTGCTTGGTATTCTTTTATGTTAATTCCTGCCAATTCCATGGCCGATTTTACCCAGTTTGCAACAGTAGTTGGTTTTACTGAAGTGGGTGTTTTGTTATTAGAGTCAATGTACGCTAGGAATAAGGTATGATTTTCAGCTAAGTTTTGTCTCATACTAGCTGTCTTTGTAATGAATTTATAAGTCGTCTTGACCGGGCACAATTCGTCATCCTCAATGCTTCCCAATGTAATAGATTTTACTTGGCTTTCCTTTGGCATTCTTGTATGAATACGAATATTTGAGGTCATTCCAACTTGCTTGAAAGTAATATCACGATATTGTAGTCGACCTATATCGGATCTTGGACGCCACATGGTTGCTATGCACAGTAATAAAATTGTTTTCAATTGCAGTTGATCAAGACTGAGCTCAGCTGTTGGTGATAAATGCTCTTTAATGTAGTCTACTAGCCTATGTATATCCCATGTTGTTGATTGTTGTTCCGTAGGGATTCGAACTTCCAAATTCCGTTTAGCTGCGAAAAATTCTTTGATTAATGGTTGTTCGGCGATTGGTGGTTTGTCACTATGGATTACGGAGAAAACCGAGGCGATTGAAGATCTCAAAGTATTCAAGTGTGTACTACTATAATCCTTATAGTCTAATAAAAATTTCACCACGGTTTTTTCATCGTATTTCAGTGGTTCGTACACAGGTTGTTGTAGTTGACACCATGAAATCCATAGATTCCATCCATAGTCGTTTGTTTTGTGAGTTGATTTTCTAGTTTTTGCGTTCAAAAAACTGAGCATTTCCTCTGTCACGCCATTCTGTAACCTGTAGTCGTTGATAACAGCCAAGCGGCTATTGTCCATCTTTGATTCAACTTCCACAGTATCGGTGGTTGTACATGCTTCATTCTCATGATCATTGGAAACCAAAATTGGCTGGGCCACCACGGTGTTATCAATACTGCCTGTTTCAATTTCTGTTGCTTGATCTTCTTCAACACTTGTGGAATTAATTTCCATGGTGGGTATAAGTACATTCCTTTGGCTAACCATATTTGACTCATGGCATCTGTTGCTGCTGCTGTGGGGTCTGGTGTTAGACTCCAATAAGTTGATAATTGGTTGTTGTGGCGAGCTGCAAATGCGTCGATCTTCAAAGGTCCCCACTGCTGTTGTATGTAGTTGAACATCTTCCTCGGAATTGTTGATTCGTATAAAGGTTTCTTGCGTCTGCTCAACTGGTCGGCTTGGGTATTCAAGATCCCCGGGATGTGTTGATAAATGACCTGTATGTTGTCTTTGTTGCATAAGTCTTGAATTTGAATTGCTAGATCCTGTAGAATCATTGATGTTGTCCCTCCAGATTTTGTTGTGTATTTCAATGCTGTTTTGTTGTCTGAGTAAATTTTTATGATTGAGTTTTCGCATCTTTGTGCGTGGTACTGTAGCGCAAACAAGATCGTCTTCAGCTCTCGCACGTTTATTGACTGCTGTTCCTCGTCTTGATTCCAAAACCCTGATGCTGTTATCAGGTCTGAGCTGACTCCCCATCCACTGTTCGATGCGTCCACGTGTATTATTGTTTTTGGATTGGCTGCTGGAATCTTCTGGATTGGTAATCCGTTCTTCTGAGTTATATGAGTCTCCCACCAACGTAATTCCTGTATGCTGGTGTTTGATATATGGCAAGTTGCTTCCCAATTCTGATGTGTCAAGTGTAATGTCTTCGATAAGTCCCTTTGGAGGTGCCTGATGTGTAGTAGAGCTTCGCCTATCGCCGGTATCATCGATGTCATCTTCCCAAGCAGACCCGCTATCCAACGGCATGTTCTCCTTGGGGTTGTTAACATCTGTCTGATTCTCCTCACTAAGTTGGCAATCTTCAATGTTGGTACTGATATAATCATCGTCTTGCTGTTGAACGAGAACCCGAGAAACTCTTGAGTCTTTGATGGGGTGAGGATACTTTTCTTGTAGTTTATAATAAAACCCAGCTTCTCTAAATGAAGTCTCACCTTCATTGTCAATTGGTTCATTTCTTGTTTCGCTTTTGACAAAATGCAGATGTCGTCTAGGTAGTATATTATTCGCATGCCTTCCTTTCTGAGCGGTTCGATAGCGTATCGCATTATTTTGGAGAATATTCTCGGAGCTACACTTAGACCGAATGCGAGTGACTTGTATCGGTAAACGACATCTTCGTTTTCGAAACTTAGAAAATCTTTGGAATCGTCGTGAATAGGAACTACTACGTACGCATCTTTTAAATCTATTTTGCAAATATAATCGTCTTTTTCGAGTAATTCGCGTAAAGCCGGGACTCCTTCCATCTTGAAATGTTCTACTTGTATGAAAGAATTTGGTTTTTGACAATCTAGAATCGGTCTTCTCTTTGTTTTCTCTTGTATTGTAA